AGGAATATCGGTAATAGACTATCAAAAATAAACTAAAAAAGAAATAGCATTAATGCAATATGAATTTCCTTCATATTAATCTAAGATAAATTTATTACTTTAATGAGTAATAGAAATCTCAAAGAATATTTACTTTACATATATACTAAAAATAGGAATATTAGTAATAGACTATCAAAATAAACTAAAAAAGAAAATAGTATTAATTGCAATATGAATTTTTTTGTGGTACATATTAATTAAAGATAAATTTATTACTTTAATAAGTAATAGAAACCTCAAGGAATATTTACTTTATACATATGCCAAAAATAAGAATATCAGTAATAGACTATCAAAAATAAACTAAAAAAGAAATAGCATTAATGCAATATGAATTTCTTTCGTATTGATCAAAGATAAATTTATTACTCTAATGAGTAATAGAAACCTCAAGAAATGTTTACTTTACACATATACCAAAAATAGGTATATCAGTAATAGACTATTAAAAATATGAATATAAATAGAGATTTCTAATATTGATATCAGTATTAATACTAATATCAGAGTATCAATTAAATTTAGATGTCCCGATATCTATAGATGAAGATCTTACTCTGTATTATATTTTTATAAGAAAAATATTTAAATAAAAAAAATTTTGTATTCTGATATCTAATTAGTAGTGCCAAAGAAAAAATATATACTTTGGGATTTTAAATTTATAATTTACCAGATCCAATCTATTTGATTTTGCAGAGATTGTATCTCATTGCTGCCAATTCTGTTTGCTCCCCCAAAAATTGATATTTAATTTTAGGGTACATGTATCCAGGTTGCTTAATTGTTGCATATTACACTGTACTAAAAAAAGATTTATAGATTGCTTTTTTATATTATAATTCATATGACAATTAAGCAATTTCTAACCCGGTAGGTCCCATTATAAATTTCAGGATTTGGCAGAAATGTGATTATAAATTTAAAGCCCCGAAGTGTAATTTTTTCCTTGGCAAATACACATACGATAATATTATGCGCTTTGTTTTGATAATTTTTTTCATACTTATCGCTATATAAAAGAACAAAAAATAATTAATTTTGGTGTATACTCTTTTTTTCTCTTTCTCTACTTCCTTTAAAGGTAATAAAAAAAATACAAATTCATATTTTTATTTATCAAAATAAGTAGTACACTTATCATATTACTTTAAACATATCTTTTTGTAGCCGATACTGCTACAACGCTTCAAATATGAGTTCTTTACGTTATTCGAATATTTCTCTCAGAAACAATACTGCAAACAATACTGCAGATAAAGATAACAATATTGATATTTTTAGTATTTAGTGATATTACATATCAGGTAAAGATTTGTAGTATATATGCATGTTAAGTATACTCCTATAAGATACAAATATCGATATAGGGTTTAATATCTATCAGTTTTTTTTATTGTGCAGTTTGACATTTTTTTTTGTAGATGAAATAAAGACAATAAGAACTGACATTAAAAACCTTGGCGATAAAATTAATAATTTTATAAAAAGTATATATGGAAAAAGGATATATAGAAAAAAGGCCTGTTCGATAACTTCTAATAGCAACAATGCCAACAATAGCAGCAGTGATAGCAGCAGTGACAACAGCAATGATAGCAGCAATAACAGCAGCAATGATAGCAAAAACAACAGCAGATAAACACAGCAACAACAACAACAGAAACCACAGCAGCAGAAACTACAGTAGCAGAAACAACAGAAACAAACGAGGTGACAAAAAAGCCTCTAAAAAAAGGTTCTAATCACTTTCCCCTGAAACAAAAAAAGCATTAAGGGTATGATGACATTAATAATTATCCATATTTCATTTGTATTTAGATATTTTCTCATATTGCTTTAATACTAGTTAATTTTTATTAAAGTGAACTATATAGATATCGGGTGCTTTTATTTATTAATTAATTTAAATTTATTATAATAAAATGACATTAAGATTTCATTTTCCAGATTAGAAAAATTTAGAAAACCCGACCCATCACAAGTTTGGTCAGAATTCAAGCAGGAATTCCTTAAAAATTCTTTTAAAATAGTGAAACATGACGTAAGAAGGTACCAGGTGGAAGATTATCAAATACTCAAAATTATTAGGGAACACCACCGGCATCAACGTGAAAATCATTTAAAAAACAAGACCCTGATAGAAATATGCAATCACTTGCAAAAAACTAAGAAAATCAATGGATGACTGTAGTAAGAATTTTTTTTTTTGGCATTAACATTTCTCGATCCAAAATTAGAAAATGTTGACATTTTGCTTATATAACTATCAGTAAAATTTTAATTATGCTTCTCAAAAAATTAATCATCAAAAAAAGGTGTTCACCTATTTACAAAAAACAAATAGTATGCATCTCACAAATCTTCTCCCTCTTGATGTACCAGAGCAATAGGCTCTAAATAACTTAAAAAAAATAATGAGAAAAAGTGAATACCACAGTGATGAGGTATCCGAAACGAATACTAAACTGGCTGAAGAAGAAGAAAGGCAAAACATTTGTTCTAAAATTGAACCTGAAAGATATAGCCATATTGTAAAGGTTGTGAAAAAAGAATGGCGATCAAAAACTGTAATTATTACAATAGATAATTATATAAATATAGATATCGGTACCAATATATTTTAATATACTTTTAGTTGGAACAGATTTTGTTGCTGTTTGAAAAAACTGCCATAAAACAAAATCAAAATAAGTTGAAAAGAAATCGGTAGAAAAGTGATAAAGTCATAAATAATTCCATACTACCAGCTAGAGCTCCTAGTTGATGTATTTTACCTTCGATCTCTGGTACAACCTTCCTCATCATATCTTGTAGTTCTCCTGGTAGCTCTACTGGTGCTGGTATTGCTACCACTGCTGGTTCTCCTAATGCAAGTCTGTGTGGTTCTCTGCTACAAGTCTGCTCGTGCTCCGCTACAAGTCCTGCTCGTGCTCCACTACAAGTTCTGCTTATGTCCTTGCTACGAGTTCTGCTCATACCCGATACAAGTCCTGGTTGTATCACTACTACAAGTCCTAGTTGTGCCTCTGCCACAAGAACTGGTCATGCTCCTGCTATAAGTACTGGTTGTACCCCCACCACAAGTCTTGGTTGTGCCTCTGCCACAAGTACTAGTCATGCCCCCGATATCTGTCATAATAAACGTGCTGCCGATACGCATCTTAGTAAAATCCTTACCAGTAATGTTCCCACTGAAGAACCTAGTGATGCTCCTGATATCATTACCAGTAAAATTTCTAATGTGTCTAATGTGTTATTTATGACTTTTTACTAAAATTTTTGTAATATTTCATTCATTTAATCTCTGAAGTTAATACAACAGTTATTAATAATGATAATAATAATAATAATAATGTTATTAGGACAAGGGACAAAGGTAAATCTATTAGTAGAGATAATTATGAATTAGGTAATATATTTGCTAATTTTTATATGACTACTGTTATAGTTCTGATCTAAAACTTATATTTTTAATCTTATTATTAAAAATTTAGAATTTAATGCTGATATGCAAGGTATTATTTAATAAATTAGCATTATTTTTAATTAATTCACAATATAT